GCTGCTTTGGACGTTGCTTTTTTCTTTTTTTTGTTTTCTTCTGCTGAAGTTTTTCTTTCGCTTGCAATTACGCACATAAATGTTTGAAAATGTAAACACATACAAGTAATATGCGATATGTGTGTGTTTGTGTATAATGTAAATGTATGCACCCATTCATGCTTGTAATACGCATAACAACGTAAAGTTTATGCTTACGCATGTGCCACAGGCGGGCGTCCATGCTTTGATGTTCTTGGTAATGGCTGGATGCACTAGGGTGTGGGTGCTTTAGTTTATTTTTGGTACTTATTATATAATTGGGTTATCGATAAATTAAACAAAGTTTGTTATTAGATTTCTTATTTTTGTTTTAGTAAGATAAACTAAGCTTCTCTTCATTACATGTCAGAAATATACTCGGACGGGTTGACATTTCCGCTCGAGGAGCGACAGCAATTAGAAAATTTTTCTATAAATTTTGGATGTAGGTCGCACCAGGATTCGAAGCCGTGCCTAACGAATGGTAGTACGCAATGCTAACCACTCGCCTACCGCGGTTGCCAAATTTAAATTATTTTACTCGATCTTATTTCTTATTTTATCTTATTTTAATTTATTTGATTTGTTTTAATTTTACTTTATTTTATTACAGTTACATAATTTTATTTTATTTTATTTCGTTTAATTTTATTTCATTTTTTTAACTTTTTCTTAAATATATTAAATTTTAATTTATTTAATTTTTTTTTGCATATCTTATTTTTTTTTGTATTATTGTATTTTATTACATTTCATTTTATTTGCTGTATTTTATTTTAAATTATATTTTTTTTAACTAAGTTTTATTTTATATAAATGTACTTCAGTTGTTTTTTTATATTTTTTATTTTGTTTATATTGGTTTATTTAATTGTGTTTCATTTTATTTAATTTTTATTATATTATTTGATTTGTTGTTTTTTAATTTAATTTTTTTTATTTTATTTCATTGCATTACATTTTTTTGCTTTATGTTTTTTTTTGTTCTGTTATATTACATTTTATTTTATATTGTTTTTCTTAAATTTCTTTTATTTTATATTATTTAATTTTATTACATTTCATTTTGTTTGCTTTATTTAATTTAACTGCACTTCAGTTATTTTTTATTTTGTTTTATATTATTTTATTTAATATTGCTCAATTTTATTTGATTTTATTTTATTTTATATTATTTTATTTTATTTTATTTATTTTTTTAGTTATATTTTATTAAAATTAAGTTAATTTGTTTGGTTTATTGAGTTTTATTTTATATTAAATTATTTTATTTTATTTTTTATTTAAATTTCATTTATTTACATAATATTCGTTAACGTATTCTTAGTAAATCTAATTAAAAATCATACAATTGCTCTTTATTTGTCTACGTAATGCAAACTGAATACTACTCACAACTCCGCCTAACAATTCTGGTTAGTTTCGCTGATATTCGAATATTGACGTTGAACATTTTAAATAGGCTTTTTATGTGTGAACCGATGCCAGCATAGCGGTAATATTTTTTCAAACTTTATACATTGCGAGTATTGAAAAATTTTAAAGCCTTTACTTTTTGAAATTGTTTTTCGCACATACATATACACTTTTCATGCCGCTAAAAATCAGCTGGTGCTATTGCTGTTTCTTTTATTTTCAACTCCACAGTGACACAGTTTCGTAATAAAAATGAAAATATATGGGAGTATGTGTAAATACACATATGTATGTATGTGGAAAGTGTTTGTTTGGTTATGCAAAAACTTTCTTTGAACGCAGCTGTAAGCTGTACGTATGCTGACAGCGTTGTTGCACCTAAAAGTATGCAATGAAAATTGGTTAAAAATTGTAGACACACGCCCTTTTGGTTTTTTTGTTGTGGTTTTTGTTGCATCGTCGTTGGCACGTGTAGGCAGTAGTGCAATCTTATATTTTGTTTGTTGAAATTTTTTTTGTTTTTGGTTTTTTTTTTACTCTGCGATTTTTATGTGCAAGACTTTACTGCAAGCTTTTTGTTTAAAAAAAAAAATGATAAAAAATGGGTTGTTAAACTTTACGTTTACCTTTTCGCTTGGCAGGTGTGGAAAACCTTAGCATATGCATGCATATACTACATACAAATGTACATATTCTATTTTATATGTGCATGTATAGAAGTATGTGTTTGCATAACTGTTTGCGCCAAAGGTGAGTGAGCATAAAAATGCAGTGAAATTCACTTACACTTATGCCACGTACCGCCTGTCTGTCCCTTTGTCTGTCCGTTTGTACATACATATATATATAAACATGTGTGCATATGTTCTTGTTGGAATTCCTGTTACGCTTGCAATTCAATTGTTATTGAAATTGTTTAACGTTTATATATTTTTATCAACATTTCTCTTTGTTGCATTCGTGTGCCGCGCTTTATAACCTCTCTTTACGCTTACGTTGTTACGTTGAATTGGTAATGTGGAGTACATGCATATATATATATATTATATATATATATATATTTATGTATATACATATGTGTGTGCGTGTGTGTGCGTGCGCATTTTCTGCATTTCAAATACTCACCTCTGAGTCTCTGTTGAAGTGATTGCCCGTCATGAAAATTACAACTTAAATTGCGCAATTGATATCGTTGAACGTTTTTATGTTATTGCTTGCATGCTTTTAGGGATAAAGCTTGCATATATTCAAACCGGCATACAAACACATATACATTTGTTGGACGTAGAAAATACTCAAATGCTACACAGGAAACTATGTACAACGGATATGTAGCTTCTCAATTTATTTCAATTTCAACACCAATTGCGTGAGTCTTGTATGAATCAGGCTGGTCATTTACTACATACATACGTGTTCATGCATACTTTACTATTAAACTAACTTTTGATAAACTTAAGCACTTAAGGCTTTAACGAGCAGCTGTGCATTCGCTATTAATATGGCACTTAAAGGGAAAAGAATATATATTTTATATTATTTAAATGCCTGAAGATGTGAGTTTTTTTTTAATTAAAAAATATTATTTTTCTATACTCTGTTAAAGTTATATAGATATCTAGATATTTTAAAACTTTAAATATTTTTGTGCTATTCGAAATATATTTTTCATGAAGCGCTTTTGGGTTCGTAAATTTTCTAAAGAAGAAAAAATTATTAAAGTCAATATGTAAATAAATAAAATATAAAATATTCGTTTAAATTTTTTTATATATAAAAATTTTTGTTTTTATTTATATTTTTATTCTTATTTTTATTTTTAATTTTTATTTTCAATTTTAATTCCATTTTTGTTTCATTTATATTCTAAAATATTTATTTTTATTTTGAATTTTATTTCCAAAAATTTTAATCTCATTTTTGTTTGCTTTTATTTTCTATTTTAATTTTAATTTATATTCCTGTTTCTATTTTCATACACATTTTCTTTTTTATTTTTATTTTGATTTAAACTTTTAGCTTTATTTTCATTTTTGGTTAATTTCAGTTTGCATTTTTAACCTTATTTTTTTGTTTTGGTTTTTTATTTGTATTGAAATTTCTCTTTCTGTTATTAATTGCAATTTCATTTTTATTTTAACGTTCTATTTAATTCCAATTTTTAATTTTATTTTCATTTGGATTTTTATATTAATTTGTATTTTGATTTCTATTTTTATTTATTTTAATCAATTTATTCAAGAAGATGTGCGATAATAAACCCTAATAAACCCACCCAGCGCTTAATATCCCTTACAGTTGGGTCCAGTCTACAAAGTATAAAGAATGTGGAGGCATTCAGAAAATCAGATCGGAGCTCGGGCTAAACGTAAAATGCGACCTAGAAACGGAAATCTTCTACAGGTTTGGGGCCACCTACTCTTTGCCTAGTGGGGAAGATTACAAGGATGCCGAACCATCAATAATCAAGACAGCTTCAAACTCACGGACTACAGCTCTGTGGGCATTAATGAAGAAGTGAAAAACCAATCAGGTTTCTGGAAGACAGTCAAGCGGCAGTTGAGGCAATTAAGTGCGTCAAAGTGAAAATGCATTAGAACATACAAAAAGGCAATTAAAAGACTACAGTAAATGCCACTTGGGTGGCAAGCCTTTCAACAACGACGTCCTCAGACTCCTCAGCGCTTGCGAACAATTGTTAAAAACAGTTGGCCATGGATGACGCAGGACGTTATTTGTATTAAGCAAAAGAGAACTTAGTGTTCTAATGGGTGTATTAAGCCGACGAAAGGCTGGAGCAGTCCCCATGTTAGTGTTCGGCCTTCAACCGATTGAGACGTTTCATGTTGGGAGGATAAAGTAAAACGGAGCGAAATTTTCGTGAACGCCTAGGTGAGATACGCGGAGGTATACAATGTGCTTACTTAGGGGCGGATGCTTCCGGTCAGGCCCTCAACCGCTATCTCTCATCCAACAAACAAACCAAAGGTTCTTTTTTATATTTTAATATTTAGTTAAAAAAAATTGTGTTTAATTCGCTAAAGCGATTTCGGTCGAAATCCTCCTCCCATTATTGGTATGCGTCTTCATGTCTTTTCAACAAAAGAAGGGTCCTACAACTTTATCTAAGCCGCCTTCGAACGGCCGATTGATTTTTATGTAGAGCCTTTTTTAATGTCAGAAATCGGAGGGCTTGACATTCACTGACAAAAGGACACCACAATTAAAATAATTAATTTTCTATAATTTTAAATATATGTAGGTATGTGTAAAATATTTTTTTGCTTCATTTAAATTTTTTTCAAAATTTTGACGGTTTTTAATTGCATTAAAAACGCTCTTTTGTTACTCAATTTTTTTTTTCAATTTTATTTTAGCATTTTTTTTTTAAATACGATTTTACCCCATTAAAAAAATAATAATTTATTATCACTTTTTTTTATTTAAAATTTTGTATACCCATTTTCTTTCATATATAATTTTTTTTCCCTTATTCTTCAATTTTTATGGTCAGAAAAAAAAAACATTAAATGTGACTGTTAGTAATAGAAAATTACACTTACTTGCGCCTCCGAATGTGAAATCGCCTACGTTTCATTTTTCGGGTTTTTAAATATGTTTCAATATTTTATTTTTATTTTGAATTGTTGTTGTTGTTCGTCCATGATTGCGTGAGCGATGTATGAGAAAACGCAACAAATAACAAAACAAAAAAATGGTAATAGATATACAAAAGGAAGAGAGAAGAGAGAAAAAGAGAAATTGCTTTGAGTAGTTTGAGCGATAACAAAAATCTTCAAACTTTCAAAACTGCACAAACAAAAACTAGTTTTCTTTTGAAACGAAAACAACAACACAAAATCCAAATTATCTAATACTAATTAACAAATGAACAAACAATTTTTTTTATTTTTTCGAATAAATATTGTAAAGTTTTCCTTAGAAAAATCCTTTAAAAGACATGAGAATAAGAAGAAGAGAAAAGAGATAAAAAAACAAAGGCATTCATTAATAACAGTTCAAAGCAAATTGTTGCAATGATAAATTGAAGAGCTTTAAAGCCCTGTATTAATTACATATATACAATAAATATGATTAATAAGAAATGCATTTGTACAAATGGCACATGAATTAAACCTATTTGGGGGCATAATAAGGAAAAAATTTCGGAGAACTTTTTCAGCGAAGCTTTAGTAATACATTTATTATAAAAATTATATTGTAATGGTAAATACTGATTTACCCAAGTATTGAAGTTTAAAAACCTTTTATTATAGAGTTTATTGTCGTCAAAAAATGTAGCTGCTGATCACTTGCGGATGGCGACGAAATTCTACCCTGAGAAGCTTTTAAGCTCTATGGTTATTTTAAGAATTAGATTTTGTTTATAATACTCTCACTATTTTCAAGTTGAAGTTCTCTTGTTTTTAACGTTATTTGTAAATAATTATTATATCATATTTTACTTTACGAATTTTGCCTTCGAATTGAAAAAATTATTTAAAAAAAGGTTAAACGAAATTTTTACGCTTTTTAGCTCCGAAAGCCATATATAAGGGAGTTTTGCTAAATTTACTATCCTACATTCATCCAGTGGATTAAACTGCGAGTCCAAGATAAAACTCTTGATTTGGTTATTTTTTATTATTTTTTGTTAATATTTACAATATTTCTATTAAAGTGTGAGTTACGTTTTGGGTTTATTGAAGACTCTAAACATTTTATTCCTTTCAAAATTCTATTTCTAAACAAAGCGCTTTTCCAACACCATTTGAAAGTGCTTAAAGAAAACTGAACTATAATCGCTTTTCACAAACCATTTTTTTTTTTGTAATTTTTCCGTTTTACTTATAATGAAAACCATTTGATACTTACTTGTCTCACCAGTGGTACAAGTCTCTGGTTTCGATGGCGGTCCACGTCCTATCGTATTTACCGCTATCACATAAAATTCATATTCGGTATATGGGCTTAAAGCTCTTACAACGTAGAACATTGTTATGATGCCGCTGATTTCACTGAAAGCCTATACGAAAAAGAAGAAGTAAATGAATGAAAGATAAAATATGTTTCAGAAAAGAAAGTAGAAAATATAATTTATTGCGTCTCACAGATAATAAATATTAGCTTTCATCATTTTCTTAAGCTTTTTCCCTGAAAGCTTCACTTTGATTATATTAGAAAAAGGTTATTAAGCACACCTGATTCGCATTTTTCGGCTTGTACTGTATCACATAGTATTGCAAGTCTTCGGGTCCCTTATAAGACCACTCCAAGCGCACTGAAGTGGCGGTTACTTCCGAAATTTGCACATCCGTTGGAGCAGCTGGAAGTGCTGTTAGAGTAAATAAATAAAAAAATTAGATAAACCAAATTTCAGAAGTGCCTTGTACACGCAGAGCTTTTTTAAAAAGCACAACTAACATTGAACTTTCACCATCGCCGTCGCTTCGATTTGTCCCAACGATGATGCCGCTATGCATGTGTAATTTGCGCTTTGTTGTATATTTGGTAAATGAAGTATGTTTCGTCCAATAGGTATATCGTTTTCGGGTGTTAAATCTTGAGCTCCTAAAAATGTGGAATATAGTAACAGTAATTATGTACAAGATAAGTCTTAGAACAAAAATATACAATATAATTAAATTAAACAATCACCTTTCATCCATTTCACATGCGGCATAGGTGATCCCACAGCAATGCAGGATAAATTCAAACTGGCTCCTAGCATAACTTCGTTAATGGGCTCGGGTGGTCGTGAAAATGTTGGCGGTACACGACGTACTTTCACATATAAATTTGTTGCTTTCGAATGTTCCGTACCAACGGAATTCTCAGCGACACATTCGTATTTGCCTTGATCCTCTTCCCGACTGTTTTCAATTTGCAGGCCACCTAAAAGTACACAATGAAAAAGGAAAATCTTAAGTGTGAAACCTTGAATTATTTATATAAAGTTATGTATATATAATTAAATAAAATTAAAATAAAATAAATGAAAATAAATAAAATAAAAGAAAATGAATTAAAATAAAATAAATTAAAATAAAATAAAATAAAATAAAATAAAATAAAATAATATAAAACAAAATAAAATAAAATAAAATAAAATAAAATAAAATAAAATAAAATAAAATAAAATAAAATAAAATAAAATAAAATAAAAATTTGAAATACATAAAGCATTTAGCATCATTAGCAGCTAATCGATATTCCCAAGACAAAGTGAATTACTGTACGAAAGCTCCTATCCAAACTTCGAAGCGGTGTTAGTATTCTCTGATATTATGTTCATTTGTATATACGAGTGTTTGTTTGGCGCTGAAGGTATGAGTAAACGACGTAAATTCACCCCTCATACTCATCTATCAATATTCGCACGCCACAGCATAAATAATAAATAACAAATTTTTATGTCTTAATATTGACTCGAAGTCGAGCCATAAATACGCCAAAGAGTACAGTCGGGGGAAAGAGGAGCTAAGTGACATGGATATTAAATTTCTTTAACGATGTTATGGCAACAAACAGAAAACACCAACATCAGCAGTGGGAATATTTTTATGGATTTTAAGTGTGAAGGACAATATATTAATGGTGTGGTCCTTTTTTCTAACCTTTAGGAGATGTGAAATTATCAAATATAGGTATATATGTAAGTGAGTACGACTGAGTGTGAAAGCTTTTAACGACAAATAATATTTTATTTATGACATAATCATTATTTTATTAATGCAGTATCTTTGACAAAAAAAAAAAAAAAAAAAAAAAAAATATTGAGTATAAACAAATATAGAAAATATGTATATTTATTAGTAAAGAATATGCGATTTCTTTAAGACATTTTTTTTGCGGCAATCACGCTGAGTAAAAAATTGCGAAAATATTCATGAAGTGCAAAATGTATAACTTCTGAAAGCGATGTTTTTAAATAAATTATATAAAATATAATATATATATATATATGAATACAATTTTCAGTGAAATAAATAAATTTAAAACTGAAGAGGAAACTGTTTGACCAGATTGTGGGCTGAAATGGCAGCAATTTGTAAACTGCAAGAAAAAATTTCAAAATTTGCTGCGTTAAAAATTAAACATAATAACATACACACACACTCAAATTCCCATTTGCGTTTACTATAATTTCTGCCACATGAAATATTTATTAAATATTGCCGCACTTGCGGTATTTCATGTTGACTTCCAAACACTTGGGTGTGTGTATATTTAGGTTAAATATTTAGCTTTTTTTCTTTTGAAACATAAAGTGTGGTCAATATTGGTTGGGTCGACCGCAATATTGGCAATTTATGGCAAAAATATGTGATGAAATAACTTGAAAATATAGAGACCACCAACGCACAGCTGGTCACCTACAGCTGCTAAATGTGCGCTGAGACAATGATATACACACACATAAAAAATAATGTACTCGTGGTAGTAGTTAAAGTGAATTTTTGCTTTGTTCAAGTACAAAGCATACAATACTTTTAACGCAAAAGCCATAAGCAGCAGAGAGCACTTGGAGGCGTACACTGTTAGCAAGTGTTGGTTATGACAATTATTTGCTTTTAATGCTCTTAAATATACCATAAAGAGTTGAATTCAATATTAACGGACAGGCTATTAATGAAATTGTGGTGAAAAAATGTGTGGGTAATTTTGGGTTTACTTTTGGTTCAGAAAATTTAGCTTTGATATAAACCCTATTAGCAAATAGATAAGGATTACAGATATTTATTTTAAGATTTTATTATATATTTTTTTATTTTTTAACACACTTTGTTGTTGTAAGAAATCGGAATACTTTTTAAACACTTGATGGCTAATTATTCACCACTGTTGGACTATATCGTGGGCATTAAGTGAGAAAGAGCTAAGCTTCAAAGGCAAGCTCGCCCAGAATATCGAAGAAATTCTTCCTGTTGGCTCATGGATTTATTCGTGGCAAGGCAAGTCTTTCGCAAGGAGCTACTAAATCGAAAACGTGCACCTAGGCCACGATTACTTGCGTTTTTATATCGCTCGGAGTTAGAGTTTAACAACTAACTGGTAAGAAAATAAATTAAACTTAATGGTTCTGAGCCTTTTCTAATTACCGTAGCATCGTTTTTTCTTAATTTAATTTAATTTTATTTTACTATTTTTTGAGTTTGAATCTTTTTAATAAGTATAATTAAATTTTTTAGTTAATTTCTTTTTACTTAATTTAATTTAATTCAATTTTATTTAAGCAAAATGAACTTAAATATTTTATTTTTTCATTTTATTTGAGTTAATTTGGAATTATCTCACTTCAATTTAATTTAATTCTATTTTGTAATTAATTTTTCTTATAATTTATTTCTTTAATTTTTATTTAATATAATTAATTTTAATATATTGTTTATCAATGCTTTATTTTATTTTTTTTTTATTTTAGGTTATTTTATTTTCATTTTATTTCACTTAATTTGATTTCATTTATATTAAGAGGGCAAGTTTTAATTTGTCAAATTATATTATTTCTAATTTATTTTATTTTTATTTATTTTATGTTATATAATTTAATTTTTTTTTTTTTTGATTTTATTTTTATTTTTATTTTAATTAAATTGTATGTTAATTTCTTTTTTCTTACTTTATTTTGTTGTATTTTATTTTTATATATTATATTAATATTTTTAAATTTATTTTACTCCACTTTAAGCTTTTAATTTTTTTTTAATTTATTTAAATTTTTCTTTGTTTAATTATATTTCATCTCGTTTTAGATTTTGATTTGACCTTTTTTAATTCTATTTCAATATATCTAATTTTATTTCATTTAATTTTTCTAAATAATTAATTAATTTTCTTTTTATTTGTTTCAAATATACATTTTTTATTTTATTTTTTGATTTAATTTAATTTGATTTATTTAAAGTTTATTTTATGTCCATCTATTTAACTTTATTTATTATAATTACGCTTTTATATCAATTCATATAACTACTTAATTTTAAAATTTTAAATTTTTACATTTTCTTTTACTTTAGTTTATAATACTTTAATTTATTATTTTTAGCTGTATATATATTTTTTATTTTATTTTATTTATTTATTATTTTATAAATTATTATTATTTCATTTTAGTTAAAAAAACTTTTAATAAACTTTTATTTTTGTTTATTTTATTGCGATAAAAAATCCTTTTTTAAAAGTGACGATGAAATTTCTTTAACATATATCTTCAAACTTTTTCAATTTCCGCGTATAAAGGAATTTACACAAAAATTTATCACTATAACTGTTAAAAATTGAAATGTCTGTACATGCCACATGCCGCCGTATATAAATGAATATACGAGTATGTAATTACGTGTGATTATTTTAACATCGCAATTGTTTAAATGTTGCATCCGTTTTAAAAAATATGTTACAACTATTTATTTACACATCACTTGACTTTATTGCCTGTTTTTAGGCAATCAAGCGTAATGACGCGTACTTAAAATTGTATACAGATATACACACATATATATGTTTGTTAACAAATGCTTGGTTCTAAAAAGCAGATGCAAAAAAAAAACCAAAATGACACCAATGATCTATATAAAAGCGCAAGCGAAACTTGATTGCCGTAAAACTGCTGACGCCAAAAAGCATGCAACAGTAACTAAGTTTTTGTGACAGCTTTCCAATATTTATGTTTTTGTGGAAGTTTTTTTTTGCTTTATTCAGTTTTTTGTTTTTTTAACAACAACGCAAACTAAAAATGTTATAAAAAATTAATAGACCATACACTGTTGCGCTAAATCATTTTAATGGCGAACTGTGGTGTGTGACATGGACATGGCAAAACACGGGCGGCTGTAGAAGTGTAGCGTTTTCAGTGTTAAGCAGACGGTGGCGTTGTAAAAATTATAAATTTTCTACAACAAGTAGATAGTAGACATTAAAGTGTTGGCAAAAAGTGCCATCAACTGTGTGTGTCAGGCTGGTCTGCTGATTGGTTGGTAGGCTGATTGGTGGAAGTATCAGCGCGTTTACGAGATACATCAAAATGAATTGCTTAGAATTTATTACATAAATATTTCCAAGCGCTTAAAAAAAACAGTACTATACCAACTACTTTTGCTGCCTTTTTGGCGTTAAAGCTAGTGTTGCATGCCCGATGGTTACACGTCTGCTTGTTCGTTCTTTCATTCATTCAGCCATTTACTCACTGCACTGCTGTCAGTTTTTATTTATTGTATTAATGTACGCTTTACGCGAAACTTTTATTGCTACACAATTTTTGTGGAGAGTTTTGTATTGGCCTCATAAAGGCGCAACATCAAACGAAAATTGCTAACATTTTGGTAAACGAGCACTTGGCTTTTGAGGTGGGCGGGCGAGTGGTGAGAAGTGCTTTTGAAATGTTTCAATTCAATTTATCAATATAAAATGTATACATTTAGGCGATCGCCATAAATTACGAAAACTATACGCTTACATTTGGCCAATTTAGATGGGGGCTGGGAAAAATATAAACTTAAAATAATAATATTTCATAAAAATCGATGAAAAGTAGTTAATGTTTTGCTGTGTTTAAAAAAATACGAAAGTGACTATACACATGAACCCATATTCAATGAATGAAAATTACACAAATTATTAAATAAACAATATAAATCTGTTGTCAGCCTGTTTTGCACTTATTTTTATATGATATATTTAAAAGTTCTGAAAACAAAAAAAATTCAGAGACTCATCAGACTGCTTTGTTATTTTCGTGATGCTATTAAAAATTTAAAAAAAAGAATGTACGCGAAGTATGTTGGCTGAAAGCTTGGAGATTAAGATAAAATTTGGGCACATCGTACAGCCTGCTGTTCAAGATTTTTGCTTCAAGGACCATAGCAAACTTTTCAATGATTGCCACTGTGAGA